CAAATAGGTAGCAGGAACAGTACCGCATGATCAGTATGTTGAATAGATAGTAAATAATACACTTCACATTCAAAGCAATGGAACTTTTATGTGAGTTTTCAATAGTCACAATTAAACTAAGCTTTTCTGGAAAATGTCAGTACCCATGTCATAACACTGATGTCTACTACTGCCTTTGTCCTTCATTTTCTTCTTAAAAGAGTGCAAGATCAACAAATACTCACAGTTCAGTGTTGAGACAGCCTTCCTCACCTTTTACTTGGGGGACCTAGAAGGAGAAAACCAAACAAGACACAGCTAGAGTGAATTAAGTCTTTGTCTTATGCAACTTTTATCTCTGTCACCTGGACTATTACCAGTCTGAATCTCCTACGGTAAAGACTTACTGTTATCTGTCTTCTGTTGTTTCCATCATATATTCTGCTGTAGATCTGAAATTACTGTGATACCAACTGCATTTTTGCGTATCTTAACTTCCCGTAGTCATTAAAATCCTACTTAGCACTGTGCCTAGCACAGACCCCAACTTACCTTCACCCTCACCACAGGTTTCCCTTTCCCCACCAAGCTATGTCATGCTACAGATGTAGATCCTTCTCCATGCTCAAATATTAAGAACCTTTAAATGTCCTGCTTCATATTATACCCACACTGACTTGAATTCTGCTCTGTCCCTCCAGCACTCCTACCCTTCTCATCCCTTTTCCTTGGGTACCCTGACCTCTGTATTACCATCCCTGGAAGAGCTGCAAATACTCTTCTCCTGCATGTGTGCCTTTCATATGTCCAGTTCTTTCTAACATCAGGGAAATTATTGTGACTGTCAATTGCTAATGCCCCTCCATCTTTCCAAGGTAACCCCATAACTGAGCAGAGACCCCATAAAAAGGAACCTGAGATGTGACTTACCCATAAGAAACACATTAAAACAAAGCAGATCATGACTGGGCTATGCATCCCTGTAGGGTGATTCTGTGGCCTCTTGGTGTCTCAAGCTGCTCAACGTCTTCTTGTCCTTTCTAGCTTCAGTTCATCCTCATCAGTCCACTGACCAGGAGAAGGAGCAGATCCTTGTTGTGCGTTGAATCCAATCTCTTCTTCCTGATCTACCTCCTTCTGTCCTCCTCTGGGTCTATCTTCTGCCCTTCAGGTTTTTCCTTTCTCTCTTTGTCACTGGCAATTCCTGTTTGCTTCTTGCCTGCCTCCTTTTGTTACTCTCTTGGCCTGCTTCTCCTCCTCTTTTGAAGGGATCTCTAAAGCCTTCCAGCCAGATCAGGAGAAAAGCGGTGGCTACAAGTTCTTACTTTAGATGTTGAACTAGTTCAGTGAAGGGCATCGTGAGATCTCTGCAGACCTGACCCTTCCCTTCTGTGAGCAGAAAGGGTCTCTGAGTTTGTTCATTCCCAATTATTCCTCTCTCCGCCCCTACCCTGAGGGGGGTGGGTTGAAGGTCATGCTATTGACCTGTTTAAATGGAGTTCAGATTCCTCTCCTTCCTCCAGTACCTTTTCTGTCACTGCACTCCCATTGTCCTACTTCTGTGGATCCAGTCTATTGACTTTAGCCATATGATCAACATCCAGAGGGTATGTTACAAGCGAGGTGTTCCTGCTGAAGTGAAACAGTTTGCAATATAATAATTATATACAGCATTTTATATACGTATAGTTATATTTATATATATATGTACATGAATGCAACATATATGTACACATGTATATGTATATATATGTATGCATATGCATATATATGTGTGTGTATGCATATGCAACACCTCTTGTATCTCCCATTTTAAGGCTCTGCCACCATCCCTCTTACCTGGTAGTCTCCTGCTATGTCAGTCCTGCAGCTGACAGTCTGCTCACTCACAGATCCCACTCCTCAACTTCCTGCATGGCCAGCCAAGTCCCCCTAAATACTTTGCATCATAGGGAATACATGTTGATTCTCCTGTCCTGGATACTATTTGTCCTGCAGCTGATTATATTAGAAGGTTCCATTCAATGACCCATTAATTTTCTCTCTCTTGTAGAACTGCTTTAGATTTCTGTTACTGCTCGTGGCTACTCAGAGTGTTATTACATGCATATAATTGTGTTCACCTTCTCTTTCTCTTTTGAATAGCTGAGCGAGAAAAAAATGCTCTGCAGTAATGTGTTGCTATTTGTGTTTGGGAACCACCTGGGACTTGTGCATAAATATATGTTAAGGGTAGGATGGCAACTAGAGAAACTTGTTGCCCCATGTTGCAATCACAATGCATTCACATTAAACTGGTGAATCATTAGCCTTGGTGATGCATATTAGAGTTGCAGAGCAGAACCAATGGATTCATGAACATAATGTATTCTCCCAAGGCAGGCTAAAAACCATTTACCATTCTTTAATTATAAAAGTAGTGGTGCAGTATAAACACGCCTTAGCATGAGTTTATCTATCTATCCTAGTCTACTACTGGAAGAAGGTTTCTGAGTCCTGGTGGACAAATAAGAAACATAGAAACATGAGCTATTGGCTTTGTATTTACATGGGAATTGCCCAATATTCTTTTTGTCTCTTTCTCCTTAAACTCTTTTGTGTATTATAGGTGTTTTAGAACAAAAGACCCAGCAGAACTGTAAAATAGCCTTTCTTGTATGTACAGCTTTTAAAACTGGTGGGATTCAATGTGGAAAAGAAGTGCAAATTACCAACATTTTTCAGGGGATTTTTATTATCAGTGTGATAATTCAATAGATTATGGCTTGATTTTTAACTGAAATTTAGTCTCATGAGAATTTTGAATTCTAGAAGAATCAAACTGGAGAAATATCAGATAAAGTGATAAAAAATTTCTCTAAAGAGAAAGCAGCAGTGTGACATGAAACAGTGACCCCTCCAAAAGCATATCATAAGTCATTCTTGCTGAAACTTATCGATCACTCTTTTTCTATTTCTATGGCATTGCCATTAATACTGTTCTTCCAGTAATCCACCTATGGCCCTGCTAGCCTGTCATTCAACAGTGGTTTAAATTTTTCCACATTCCCCTGCTATTTTGCCTCAATTATCTCAGTATTTTATTTTTATTGGTTTTACATTATATTGAAGTGACTTTTCTCTTTCTTATTTCCCCCTTGCCACCTTTCAAAAGGTTTTAAAAATGTGACCAGACCCTTACAGAACTGCTAAAGCAAACAAAAATATCCCATCATTGATTTTTTTCTGTTCTTTGTGATTGTTTAAAATCTAAGGGTCCATGCCATAGTAAGCTATGTGATTTGAACATACCCTTCCTTGGATGCCAGAGAAAGCAGACTGTGGTATGGACAGAAAATACTTCGTTCCTCTCTGCTTCCCTGTTCTGGTTGTATCAAGGGATGTATCTCAAGCCTGTTCTAACTTTTATTTCCTAGGTAGCATGATCTTAACTGGGAGTAAAGCTTCCTAATGAGCTGAAAAAATGCTGTTGTACTGCTCTTAGAAATTGTTGAGAAATTGCTGCTTGTTGCCTGTTACTCTTCAAAGGAGTATTCCACTACAGCCAGCTTGATTAGTCATATCCAATACTTCCCCATGGGCATTTAGGAATGTAAAATATGAGAACACATTTGGGGCTCACAGGGACCCCTGATACTTTTGCAGGTGTAGTAAGACATTATCAAAGCTTTCATGTATTTTACACTGAATGATGATAATCCAAAAGGGCTCTGTTGTTTGTAAAACAAAAGCAGATGATTTTTGAATAAACTGTGCAGAAAGAAGCAGAACACTTCCCTCTCACATTTTGTGCTCTTTCCACTGAGGACATAAGGGTTGACAGAAAATGTGACAGAGGGTTCAAAAGCAGCAGCTCATTGGAGACAGGGTAAGGCGCTCCTGTAAATTAACATGTATTGGTCTATACGTGTTTGCCCAGATGCTGGAGTCCAAGTCATGGCGCTCAATTTTTCCACTGTAAGGTAAAAGGCTGGGAATGCCTTTTGCTCTGTACCCGCGGAGCTTAGATCTCCATCAGTCTGGGGTTGGCAAAGCCCCTGGTGAGACGCAGTGCTGGGGGGCAGTATTGTGTGCTACCTGGTGCTCATCCTCGTTCCTGAGCTAACAGCCGGCGAGACCAGCAGTCCTTGGGCTGCATTTCCTACAGCAGGGTGAAATAAAACTGAAAATTCAGATCTCAATCCTGTCATTTTGCCAGCAGACCTAGAAATACCAGGAAACATAGGACCAGTTAAGTTTCTCCATCCTATTGCTAGAGCTCAAAGTTCGAGCGAGCGTGGTGCAGGTGCTCAAGCTGACAGGTGACCCTTCCTTGGATGCGGCGGCAGCCCTAGTGCAATGGCATGCTGCTGCGCTCTGTTAATTGCTCTTGCTAGAAGGCAGTGATTATCACATGTGACTGTGACTGTTCCTGGACTGCTTCCAGCCCAGAGCTAGTCCAGGAGCACAGCATCACATTCTGGTACATGAGTTTTCTACCCAGATTCCCCATAAGTTCAGCAGATTTCTTTGACTCATTCCCTTTTATAGTGCAGACACACCTGGAACGGCAGCTGGGAAACCTGGATTCACTTCTTTGTGTCCTAGGAATGGGCAATGGCTGTGACAAGTCAATGTGCTACCCCCCCAGGACAAGTGTGATGTGCTTACAAACAATAAGCAAAGGGGATCAGTATATTTCTCGTTTCATTTTACCTCCAGTCTTCCTGTGCCACTTGAGAGATCGAGGAGCCCCTCCGGCTGAATTTGCCGAATATTAATCACTGTATAATAAAGCCAGGAAACAAACACCCCTGCTGCTGAAAAACTTCAAGGATTTGTTTAGACTTCATCCAAAATTAATGTAATTTCCTCTTCACCCCTCTTTTTCTTTCTACAGAAAGGACGTACCCGCAAATTGGGTAACTCTATGCATCTGTTCCAGGAATGGAGAACTGTGAGATTTCCGTGCCCTGTTGCCCACAGGAAATTTAAATACTGTTCTGAGTCTGCGCTTCATGTAAACAACCCCCAGCATCACTGTGTCATGAAATCCTTTAGTATGAGCCAAAAACCCCTTCTGACTTTTGCATGAATCACTCTCTTAGCTCCAAGTGACACTGACCGTTCATTTGATCCCTCCCAGAACCTTATACCTGTGGGAGCAACCAAACTTTTGAATTCTCCTGAAACCTTGCCAGAAATGACAAGTGAAGAAGTGACATATGCAGACCTGAGGTTCACAACACTGGAAAAATCCCAGGACCAGGAGCTCCAGACTGCCAGAGCAAAAGGTAGTGGTGGTGTTGGGGGGCAGTTCTCTCCAAGGCAAACTCTCACCTTGGAGAACATTCTTTATGTGACACTCAGAGGATGATGAAGCATCTTGGCTTCTGGGAGCCCCTTGTACTCAAATCTTCTAAGAAATCAGAGGGAGGAAAGAAAAAAAGGCAGGAGGTGAAAAAGAATGGAAGGGTAGAGAATGTGGAAAACTGTTTAGATTTGAGAGGAGAGATATAACTAAGGTTGTGGGATGCAGTTACATAAAAACAAACATGTTCCAATAGATGTTAAGTGTCAGCTCCTGGAACTTAGTGAAGTAATCTGCCTAAGGGGCCTTGCAAAAGTCTTTCGGCTTTACTTATTTAAATCTGACTAACAGAATGAAGTAAATGCCAGGGAAAAAAAAAACATTTTCTCTCAAGGGAAGGAATAGATGGACAAATACCTTTTTGTACTTAATCATAAAAATTATGCTACATAGCTTCACAGAAGAAGGGAGGAATGTGCCTGATCCCAAATCTATATTCTTCATGCGATGCATTAGTGCTTTAGAATCCCTCTGTATGAAAGGTAGTAGCAAAGCAAAGAGATGTTATATTCCAGCCTGACTGAACATCTGGAGATGAATTTGATAAATTTGAGGATAATCTAATAGATTAAAGAGCTCTTTCTGAAGGAAATTTTCCCTTATTAGCTAGCCAGTGTTTGTCTCATTTTCACCTTTTGAAGGGTCCTTGAGTTTTATACTTGGAGCCTGAAGCTGAACTCCCAGTAATTTAGTAGAGTTCTTAACTGTTTGGTTAGAGTTAGGGAACACAGGGATAACAGGCAGAAATACCACAGGTTGGTATGCCAGTTATTTCTGTTAGTGCCTTCAACATAAGTATTGCCACAGAAATGTCATACTGGAATCTAATAAAAGAACATAAAACTCTCAAATTGGAAGCAATCCTTTCCTCTGTGTTTTGGGGCTCTGTGTGAGTTCACGCGGGTGTTTGCATCTGCCCACATTGCAAGAATGGATGTGTGCATTTCCAAGTGTGAGACTGTGTTTCTGTGTGACTGTGGGTATATGGTCTTATTCACCTCTGTATGCCCTAATTTCAGATTATTTTACAGCGACCTGGCTTTCACTGGTGACTGTTTCTGAGGTTATTTTCTGAAAAGGCAAATTCATTCCCAGTTTGGCAGGTTAGGCACTCAAAAGTAAAAATACCCCAATACCTGGTTGCATATGAAAATTTCAGCCATGTTGTAAGCACAAATACTTCCTAGATGTTCTTTTCTCACATGTGAAATTCTGTGCTGTTCAGCTTTATTTGTCCAATTCCTTTTCTTTTAAAAGCTCCTGGCTAAGGTGGTCTCCATGGCCTGCTCCCTTCCCAGCCCCCAACTCCTAAGGAGGACTGGCCACAGCCAAAGGACGGGACAATTTTCATAATGTAATACCACGTACTGGTCTGAAACTCAGCAATTCACTGGGCAGACTATTGGTCATGGTGTCTTGTGCACCGTAGGAGCTGCAGGTGCAAAGATGAGAGGTTCCTGTTCTTGCTGCTTTTCCTTCTTTTTGTCTATCTCAGATTCCCCCAGTCCATCTTCCTGTTGGAGGCTGGCTACAGCGACGCTTGGGATCTTCTGCCTAAGTTCAGTGGTAGCTGCAGGAGTCTTGGCTACCAGGTGTAAGTATGGTCACAGAAGTGGTCCTCAGAGCTCAGTATGAACAACTAAAAGTCCAGGAAATTAGTTAAGGAAAAGGATTAGCCTAGGGGATTAACAATGAAAAAAAATGTCCCTTACTGGAGGAGTTTACCCACTCAAGAGATCTCCCAGTCTTTGAAATTGGGACATATTACATCTTGCTCATAAGTGTACACGACCTGTATGTAGGTCAAGTATATTCAGTCATGGGGAGGTACGTGTGTCTTTGGTAAGTTTATTCAGGTTGCATTGAGCAGTTTAGCTTTAATATTAATGGAACAATTTCATTCTTGTTTCACTGTGATTCAAGTCATCCTGGTCAGCCACCTTGTGCATGAAAGGGATGAAAACTTCACCCTGCAAAAGGCAATTATGGAAAGCCTCAACCAGCAGCTGGAGCTCCTCCAGGCTCAGAATTTGAACTTGACAGAGACTGTAAAGCAACTTGCCACCTCCAGAGGTACATAGTGGTGGGAAGATGGTTCCATTGCATTATGGTAGCCACAGACTGGGTTTTTTTCTATCAACTGTATTGGAAGGAAAATCAAAATCTCTAAACCTGCCCTAAATTATTTAATTTAGAAACAAATTTCAACCAAAAGGCTGCATTTCCATTTTGATCAAGTATCAGTCTTTCTGAAGTACTTTTATTGAATTTTTGTAATGGAGCTGGTTTACACCCTAAACCAAACATTTTAATTCAGAAAATGCCACAATAATGACACTTTAAAAAAAAAAATATTTCTAATAGGTAAATTCATTGATGTTACCATTCCTTCTTTCACAGTCAGTTTCTGATGGAAAATTCCTACTGGCTTTAATTGTCTGGAATGCTTTGACTCCTCAAGACAGCTTCATTCTGTTATGCAGTCATGGATGCAGCAGTGTAAATACTGCTGCTCTCTACCAAATGGGATTGTAATCACTGGCTTTAACAGTTTACACACTATATGCTGACGGTATCTTTTTTTTCTCGTGCAAAATAATGGTGTGAAACTTTAATGATGGGTGAGCTGAATATGCTAGATTATCATATAGCAGAGGGAAGAGAATCATAATAAATTAACATCTTGTGAGAGAGTGGCAAGGTTATTATCTATGTAGATGTCTGCATTTGAATTAGCAGAAACCAGAAGCTACTTGTACTGTGCTGTGCTACCTATTGCACCCAGCATCAAGTCCTGGCATTCCCAGCGGGCATTGTTTTGTTACAGTATAAAATGGTCCTGTGAACCATAGAGCAACGAACATGATTCACCCTATAGTTGGGACCCACTTCCCAGACATCTCTGAAATATTTTGTCTGGCAGGTCGTTTTGCTGCTTGCGATTATTTCATTTTCCAACTAGAAATGGAGCTCCCCAAATGGTGCAAGAGTGAAAGAAAAATCCAACATTTTGAGTTCTTCCTGGCTTTAGTATTACTTAGGGTTCCAACAGGCAACAAACAGAATAATGTGGCAGAAAAGAGTCAAAATGCAGCTGTCAGAAAGGTGTTTTCTTTAACAGCAATGGGCTCACTATCTTTCAATTTGGCTGGCCATCACTATCTGACATCTGTGCACTGAATTCACAGCAAGTATGAAAAGCTATCAGAAAAGTTAAAGTATAAGTTGCATTGTAAAGCATATAGCAGGGAAGAGCTGACCCTGATGTTAACAAGAAGTTAAAAGTAAGTTCACATGAATGAAGATGTACCCATATGACTGGAAGTCTAGGTTTCCTTTTATGTCCACCTAGATCCATGTGTCTGTGACCATGGCTCAACCTTCCAAAATGTCCTCTATTTGTGTTTTATTAGCACCCTCCACGTTTGCTGGTCAGACTTAACAAATCTTTATTATTTGTTTTTCTGATTTTCATTTAGAAATGTTTTTCTGGTCTTCTGGCAACTGGATTTATTAAGTCTCCAATGAAGACATTAATTTAGCTGCAGAATGAAGGAGGTCTTTTTGCTCCTCTGCAATAGAGAGGCTGAGCACTGCTCTAGTAATCCTGCAGGGATCCACTAGACCGCTAGAGACTGCTCTCACTGACAAACCTGATCAGGTGCTCTTTTGTTTTCAAGGACATAAATGTATTCCTTGTCCTGAGGACTGGCTACAGTATGGGGAGAACTGCTACCACTTTTTGAAGGAATGGAAAACTTGGCAAGAAAGCAAGGATCAATGCTCTACTCTGGAGTCCAGGCTTCTTAAGATAGAGAGTAAGGAAGAGCTGGTAAAGATTATTTTTTTCTCTCTCTCTAATTAGGCACTTTGCATTTTACTGTGGCCTGAACAGCCACTCCAGCCCTCCACTGGTGCATTATGCTATGGTGTGTGTGTGCTGGACCAAGTGGCAAAACCTGCTCATGACCCTTTGGAGCCCCTCTCCTTGTACTGTTGCACCCTCCCTGGTGCATCTCTACTGACTTCAGGGGACTTAACTGAGACACACTAGCCTGGCTCTACATCTAGATCCTCATCCCACCTCAGGGCAAATATAACTGAGCTGGTACTGGTTGGCAACTCTGCTGTCTTGCTGGAGCAAACTATTTAGCAAACGTCAGAAGCCTGGCCTTCAGCTTCTTGCTGTCCACAACTAGAAAGCTCGCTGGCCTCGCCTGCTCCCTGGCCTCGCCTGCTCCCTGGCCTCTTCTCCCACATGAGCAGAAGAGGATCCATATCTTTTTCTGACTCCTATGTTGCACATGAAGCAGCAGATAAAGCACAGCCAGAAGAGCTCTTTGTTGTAAAGGAATTTCTACCCAGACCCTTAATGGCAATGGGATTATGTCTTGAACTCTGTGGTTTTATTGTCTGTATTTTCAATTTCCTATGTACAATGACAGCAAAAGATGCAAAGGCCTTCTCCTGCCTGGCTTATGCAACCGGGGTGTTGGAAGAAAGTCATTATCCTATACCCATTACCCAGCTAATGGACAGGCTTTGGTTATCTCAACTGTCGTTTTAGCTGAGAGCTGCTGAAAGCTCTCAGTAAGTTCATTTTCCTTATCTGCAAAACAGCACTGGCTGCCAGGAGTAGGAGGCACTGCCCAGATTCATTTGTGAAATAAAGTCTGTTACGCACAGGTGTGAGCAGCTCGCTTTCATCTGCCCCTCTCCTTTTCCAAATCAGAGGCCGTTATGACTGAAGCAGGGATGTGATTCACAGGCTCTGCATTTATTTCTGTACAGGACTTCACAATACGATCAGCACGGTTTTACGGTTCTAACTCTTTCTGGATTGGGCTGTCCCACAACGGATCCGAGGGGCCCTGGCTGTGGGAGGATGGATCAGCTTTCTCCCCTGATCTGTAAGTCGCTGCACAGGTAGAAGCAGACCACGTCCAGGCATACTCGTTATGACCAGGACCAGCAACTTTTAACTGCTGCTCAGTAATCGCCTGTCCCCCTAGCAGACAGGTTACCCATCACTTGCTCACTTACCGACCTAGGCGAGCCCCCATCAGGGAGCTTGTATGCTGTTGTGGGTCAAATGGGCAGCAGCAGTCGGGAATTATTGTATCAGCCTGTGACTTTTTCCATGGGATGATGAATATCTCTGCTATTTTTTCCCAGGTTTCAGATCCAAGGAGACAGCTCAAGTCCTTTCCTAGATTGTGTGTTTCTTCAAGGTGCAAATATAGACACTGCATGGTGTGGCACGTACAAATTTTACATTTGTGAGAAAGTGGTGGATCCTGCGGTGGTCGAGAAAGTGAGCTACTCAGAGAGGCACTAGTGTGAAGAGCTCTGCAGAGAGCCCCGTCCTGGGATACGCTGTTGTGGGGGCGAGTTCTGCCCCAGGGTTTGCAATAGGGAAGACAAGTCTGAGCTTAGGTTAATGTAACATAAGGGTTAATCTAAGCTTAACTTGCCTGCTGGTGATGCACATCAGCCAGACTCCTTTTTGGGCTTTTTCTTCAACAATTTCATTCCCTCTTTCTTCTTTCAGTCCTTGCATTCTTGTGTAACCACTTCTATCCACTTCTCATAAATTCCTTTCTAAATGAACCATAATTAAGTATATGATTCCAGGACTCTATTTTAAAGATTCATACCTGTCTCCCAGAAACAGGAATCAATGACCATTTGTAAGAGCAACACATCATGTTTTCAAAATCCATCCACTGGGTATTCACAGATGTAAGCTCCCAATTTACAATAAATTTCCAAATATTTGATTTAATTTCACTCCTGACATACTGAAAACTAGAAAGTACAACAGAATCAGAGCCTGCATTAAAAGACAAATAAAAATATTTATAGTTCTTCTGGTTAGAGAGAAAAGCTTTCAAATGGGATTGTATGCCCTGTGGGCTCAAAAAACAGAAGGTAAAGATGGAACACATATTTATTGAGGAAAGTCAGCAGTATTTAATGCCCAGGAATGCCAGTCCAGCTGCTAGTGGATTGTTCTGCTGCATCGAGCGTTAGAGGGGAAGGCGCATTCCTCTAAGATATCTGTCTTGATAATTATCCATGTCACATCTGATCCAGTTCTTTGATTTCTCAAATCCATTTTCCATTCTGTTGCAGAATTTCACAGCGAATAAATATTGCTGCTACTGACCTTTTCTGTAGCGTGTCTTTTTAGTAAGTCACTGTGCACAGCAGGCTCAACAACCATCAAGTACAGGGCCTTTAATGATGCAAAGCCTCCTGCCACTTTGCTGCTGTTTAGGAGGCTGTTCAAAAAGAAGACTGCGTCAAAGAGAGCATCTCTTTTCTATGGCACTAGCAAACAATAGAGATCTTTGAAATCTCTCAGGAGCAGTCACGTTTATCTTTAGGACTTTTGTTCCTGTGTGTATTTGTACTAATTTGAGCCGTTCAATGAAAACTGAACTGTAAGTCAGGGAAGGTGGAGGTATTTAGGCAAGCCTCTAATTATGTTTATTTTAGACATAAAGCTGTGCATCAGAAGTCTGCAGTAGCAACAGCCAACAAGTGTGCTGCATCCCTCACTAAATGAGTGTTTAGCAATATGGCAATTATCTTAATTATGGATATGAAGAAGTAATTTGGAGGAGCAGGGACAACAGAGAGCGTCTTGTCACACAGCTATCTCATAGTCTGGAAATACTGCATTTTCTAAGTCTAAGCACGTGGCCTCAGCAGCCATGGAGATACTACCTGGGATCCCAGCTCTGACTGACCTACAGTGGATGCAGGTACGATGTGAATGATGGGAGGGGTAACTCATCCAGAGCTGTTGTTCTAACACGTGCGGGACACAGTGGGAGGCCCTGTCTTATAACCCTTGGTAATACAAGAGGATCTTAAAGATCACCCCATGAGGAAGCAGGAGAGCCCTCACTGAGGGGGCTGGTATGAGGCGGAGCTGGTGAGGAGCTGAAGCAGTGAGTGAAACTGAGGTGAGGGAACTGGTGCGATGGGCATGGGGTCAGCGGACCAGTGAGGGGAGCGATGATTGATCCTAGGGGCCTGGCTGAGGGAAAAGCGTTGCGTGCAAAAAGCCCTGGTATTATGGACTGGGAGCGAAACGCTGAAGAAAATGAAGGAAGGAAATGTTGAATGAAAGTCTGCTGTTCTGTACTGCATTTGGGAGAAGAATCCATTAGCCTGTCTTGTCCCCCTGTCCGAGACATGAAGCATTGGTCCCTGTGCCTGGCTGCTGAATACACAAGCTCAGGAACTTATAAAACAAGGGGTATGTTCCTAGTCCTCATTGCTGTCTGGATTTTTTCATTTTATACCACGTCTTCATGCCTCAATGACTTGTAATGAGAACCTCTACATGATGAGCCAAGTTGCACTGAATAGAAGAGCACATGGCATCCAGTAATTGCCCTGAGATGTGCAGTGTACAACGTGTTACTGTGTTTGAGTAAAACCTAACCCTGAATTTCCTTGATAAGTAGCGTAAATCAGTTCTTGTATTTTGGCTTACACCAGGAGGGAAAAATTTAGCCTTATATGTAAGGTGATCACTTAAGTCACAATACAATAATTATTATAACAGAGGCCATATCTTTTGTTATATGAGGTTAAAATGTTCAGGACTTTAAAACAATTCAGAGCTAAGCAATTTCATGCACATATCTTCTGCACTTTACTCTTTCCCATAGCCACCTACACGCATGGGACTATCTTCTAGATCACTCTGTGCGTTCTTCATGCAATTCTTCTTAACTCCCTTTGAAATGTCCTCCTCAGAAATCTTTCTCAGATTGCCCAGGGTCCATTAAACTAGTTGGTTCACAGGAGTCTGTTCTGTGCTACAGAGTAAAGGGAATATTCTCAGTAAGCAATGAGTTAGAGAAACAGTCTTTCCACTTAGCTTTGCAAGTCATGCTAACCATTGCATTTTGCACTGGTACCTGTGAAGTCTGGTCCTTCAAAATTACTGCAACTTCAATGTTAATCTATCTCAAGAATGATGTCATCTCTGCTGTCATTTGGCTGCAGAAAGCATTTAAAACTGACAAAGTTCAAAAAACATTATGCACTCATAGCTTTAATTGAATGAACTGAGTCATTTCAAGTCATACAATGCTCATAGGCAGATCTTTAGCTTTTGTTGTACATTGAAAAAGACAAAGGGTGAAAATATTTTTTTGACAGCCACCACTAGATTAGTAATTAGTTGTTGTCTGTTGTTGCCATAAGGTTTTATTAGCACAGCCAGTTCCGTATTCTTGATGTTATGTTGTTCACAGTGATAAAAAAATCTTGAGTCTATGATTAGCCTTTTCAGTTCAATACAATGTCCATTAAAATCAGCATATAAGCACTGTACCCATGCCACGTTGTTACAAAACAAGCCTTCAGCTCACAAGCCACTCTCAGTGCTTCTTGGCAAATAATTTTCCTACTGTTCTCAACATGAGTATTCATCTCGTTAGATCTACCACACTCATGAATGTTATTCTTCATAGTGCCTATGATTTTTAAAGACAAATTGTTCTGTTCACTTAGTTTTCTTACATTGCTTTCAGTTGCTTCATACTGATGTATAGCTGCACAAGTAGCTCATTTCTCAGCAAAGCTCAGAGATGCAACCTTGAATAGTGTTACAGCTTTACTTTTTAATGAGTTTTCTTCTCTGCATTGTCATGCTCTTTACCCTTGGTGGCAGACAGTCAGTAAACCACCTGCATTATAAAAACTTCAAGAAATCCAAGTGGGGAAAAATGTTCTTGCCGCAAGATCCCAATACTCATAATTAACAGAGAAAATAGATGTGTCTTTGTTTTCATGTGGAGACAGAAGCTGCTGTCTTTAAACAGCAGGCCTTGCAAAATATACTGTCATTTTTGAAGTTGCAGAGCCACATGATATATGGAAAATGCTGCTAAATCACCTCTGGTAAGGTCTGCTGAGAGAACAAGGAAGCAAGAAGAGAAGCATAATGATTTACTGAATATATCTTCGTAAATGCAGCTGCATATTGGGTGTTTTGAGTGAAATATTTAAGTTTTCTGAGGTTTTCAGTTTTGTTTAAAATGAGCGTTCATGTCCTAGACCTTAAATCAAAGTCAAAGCCATGAAAGATGGTCAAGAGAGTTTTTTTCTGTGGACTTGGAATTCTGCAGACAGAGTAAGGATTTTGGGAACCTGCTTTTAAACCTATGCATTCAAGACTGTTTGGTCTAATCTTTTGCCCTCTCTCTAATCTTTGATTGTCTTTCCACCACCATCTCACCCTTAACCCTCTTGCATAAAAGAACTAGTTTTAATGCTAAAAAAAGAAGTCAAAAAGGAAACTTTACTCATCCTCCAGTTCTCTGGTTAGAGTCATGTGGGGATTTCTCCTTTTGCTAAATTAAGATTCCCATCCTGTAAATTTAGCAAAAAGAAACTTGTGATTATACATTTGAAAACTAAAATGCAGCACTTGTCTAAATGCTTCCAAAGAAGACTATTTCTATTTCTGTTTCAGAAATTCAGAGTCAATCGTTTGCAATCACACATATGCCTGCTATCCTGAAAACTTACCTACCCTCCCAGCTCCTCACCATTCTGGAAGACCACCAGGAAACTGAGCTGGAAGAAATGCTCACTCCTTTGGTAGAAGGGTTGCCCTTTTGCTCTGATTTGAAACAAAAATATTCAGAGTTGTGAAATATTCTTTGGCAGTGAAAGACCACATAAGTCTGATTAAGCCATCAGCAGCAAAGCCAGAATTTCCTCATTATTCAGTATTTCCTGTATTTTATTCCTCTCTCATTCTTTAGATTTATTGGGCTTTTTTCAGAAGAACATAACTAGTAAGAGTGGGCACCTGAAACAAACAAACAGACTTAAGTGACATATGGAATTGGAGCACTCACTTGGAATACGCTTAAATGCACAAGATGCACAGGTGGCCTTTGTGGGTAAAACACTTCCTGGAGATGGACAGTCAAATGACCACGCTGAAGTCATGTTTGTTGCTATTTATAATGTCAAATTAAGTTGAAGGCTTGTCATGGCACAAATTGTGGTGCAGATTTAATACGAATTGTACACCTGGAAAGCAGTATTTTGTAGGGGAAAGTAAATAAATAATTAATATCAACTTGCCCATGTTATGATGGCAAAAGTCTTATGCACTTAAAAAAAATCTGCATTTTGAAGCATAATTTTACAACCCAAGGAAAGGGAGCAATTTATTCTGCTGTATAAGTAAGACTGCATCACAAATACACTAGGAAGAAAGGATGGACTCTGCTCTGAATTTGTATTAAGCATCGTTTTACACTCCCTTCTTTGAAAAATCTGAACATCAAAATCTTCTTCATATGTTTCCAGTTCTTTTTCTGCTGATAATCTTTTTAGATTAGCTGGACTGCCGCCTTTTCACAGATCCAGGGATATTTCTCATAACAATTCTCACTGTAAACTCTTGCATTACGATAAAACAGGTACGCACAGTTTTGCTTAGAGGACAAATAAATCCTAGAAAAAAACCCACACCATCTTGTTAAAAACTCTTACTTACAAATTTAAAAAAAACAACATAAAGCTCCTTTGGACAAACATACATTATTGCAAAAGTTGCCTAGTAATTTTAAGGTTTATGAAAGTTTATACAAAATACTGAAGAACATAACAGCTCATATAATTCAAGTCTGAAGGATCATTCTCCCGCCTGCCTTCAGCTCAAAGATGTAAAAAAGAAAACCTACATATGGAGCACCATAAAAACAGAAAATAGCACTAGTTCCTCACCAGTGGTTATGTCAGTCCAAGCATTGCTTTATGTAGTGGTAATTTGGGTCTGGAAACCAAAAGGCAGTGGTCTGCCTGAACAGCAGCCAGATCATTCTACCCAGTGTCTACTAGCTGTGGGAAATGTGTTTGCAAGACAAAACGAGCATGTGTTTCCAAGGAAGCACTGGAGAATCTTCACTCGAAGAAGGTTCTCCGGATCCTGAAGAGGACTCTCATATTACTGCATACAGTGATCACTTCACACAGAACAGAATGGGAATTCAATTTTTTTTCCCCATGGTTAGTAAAGGAGAAACACTGAGTAAGCTGATGAGAGTTTACAGAAAAAGTAAACAGGTTCTTTCCACTGAATGTTGACTATTTTTGTGTAATAAAGGTTTCAGAGTGAATTAGGGATAATTGCGGCTGAGGAGAAGAGGAAGGTGCAGGCAGGCTTTGCAGGAGGTACGCTGTCTTGAAGGAAGTGTGGGTTGTTTCTTATAGAGTCATGGGATGTTTCATAAAGTGAATGGGTTTAAATAGTAAGAGCAGTAATTGGTTGCACAGGTTTGTTGACTCCTTCTTCTGCTCACACTTCCAGTTTTCTGATACTCTTTCCCTATTTCAGGGACTCCACACCTGAAAGAGTATTTTAACGCCGAATAAATCTGCGGCTGTATTCTGCCTTGAAGCTTTGCCATTAATGGGGTTTTGGTTTCCTCCTCCTTCAGTGCACAGGGAGGATATTGTGCAAGAAGAGATTAAAAAACCACCAACTGTTTAAGTTCAGAAAACTTACCAGTCCATTCTCTTTGTAGAAAGTTTCCTATCATCTATCCAAGACCAGCCATCAACTCCGTATGATAATCCAATCCAATAAGATTGTTTTTGTGATATTTGAGATATTCTAATCTATAAAAAAAATGCAAAACCTTTATCACCAAGGAGCTTGTGGGTATTTTTTTTGCTGTACCTAAACAACTACTGTTGAGAGAGGAGGTGATCAAGAAAGAACCAAAGGAGGTAATCTGGCAATGATTTTCTGAACTCCTCAGCAAGCCCTCATAACAGTTTCCAAGCGAC